GAATCCTTAATGTTTTTACACACGTACAATAGATTTTCAAAAATGTATTGGGACGCTAAAGTTAGAATTTTAATTTCCTTAAACTTGTCCCTCAAGGATTCCCTCGGGTGCATATTATAAATAGCACGAATAGCACGAATACCCACCCACTGAGAAGATCCGGCGAGAAACTCAGTGGGCTGTGTCTGTGGGTTAATTTACTCGTCAAGCCCTTCGTCGCAAGCGACGGGTTCGGCGAGAACGATGACCGGTGTGCTTAGTGCGAGTTTTTTAACGTTCTCGATAGCGTAAAAGTTAGCTCTTATTTGATTTGGATCGTTTGCCTACGTTTGTCGCTAGGGGCGCTGTTCCAACTGCATACAAAATTGGGCTAACTTTTACGATATCGAGAACGTTAAAAAACTCGCACTAAGCACAGGGATCTGTTCACGAAGACAACTTGACGTTGGTTAAGTTAGGAACACTTTAAAATTAAATCTCCCAAACAGACTACATAGCGTAAATCATCATTTCTATAAATTTAAAGTAAAACCCGATTGTTTTTTTTTTCTTTCGTCTCTCTTTGTTGATAATGAAGAACTTCCGTGTTTTATTTTGTATTAATTTGATTACATTTTTCTTAACAATGTGTCGATAACAAAGCTACACAAAAAAAGAGGCAATCTGAATAAAACTAATCTAAATCACAAGTGTCCGCCTCCAACATTCGAAGTTCGACCGTAACACTACAACATTTAAATTCAATTTATGATTTAAGATGAATGTGTCTTACAATTGATCAGGTTCCTTTTTTTTTTAAATTTAATACTCTACATTTAATTCGATTGAAAACTTACAGTTACAAATCTCGCAACTGGTTCGCGGGATACATCGAAATCGTATTGTGACAAAGATAAAACATCCGCTCAAGATAATATCAATTCGATACGAGACTGTCACCGAATCTCTTATGGCAGTTATTCGACCTTATCTCTGAAGCGCAAGATCGAATTTCCCTGACCGATAGTGAGATCCAGAAAAAAAAAAAGAATTCAAATTTTAAAAAATTCGAATAAGCAAAACGTGTTTCGTTCCATCCAGTATGTCAAAGCACGCCCCGAAGACGGGTCAGGATCCCTTCGATTCTAGATTTCAAAAAGATGGCTGTTACCGAAATCCTCTATTGAATTATATATTTTTTTCCATTATTCGCGGACCCCAGAGAGAAATCTTAAATTCAATGACCATTTATTCAATACTAGCAGACGATCCGCCCCGTTTCTGCGGTGTTGTAGCGCGAATTTCTTCGGGGTCCTATTGTGAGTTCACTGGTTTTGGAACAGCGTGAGTTCATCGCGAGCCGGCTGAATAGTCCGCTTCTAATTACACAGTCAATTTGGTACAGCGGGAAATATGAGTTATTGCCAGTACCGTAACCGAAATGTAATCGCGCGTTTTGTAATTCGTATCGTACGGTAGCCTTTAGTTGAATCAATTTGAGGCATTGTGTTGTTATGAAAATTTTCGTATTATGTATCTTACTTTCTGCCTCACGTTCTAAGCAGAGATAATCTACTAGATTGTTTGATGGCGGCTGTTCCGCTTGATTCTTCCAAGCCCTGCCAACGTATAGGACCAATACTGAAAAGATATACGGAGTAGCGCAAATACAACGAGTATTAGTCGCCTCATGAGACGTAGTCTGAATTACTCAAGGCGACTTGGATCGCCTAATTTTTATAAATATTTAGGATTTTCTGACGCTGATTTTCTAACACTTAGAAGAGCTAGGTGATGTATAGACACACGGTGTGCTGACGTACGTAGGGCTAAGTGCAATACGTATCGACTAACAATAAACAACAAAGGATATTAGATTATTTAAATATTTAAAGGGTTATTAGATTTAAGTTTATAGATTAAGATTACAGACAGCGGCAGAATAACAGCGATAGTTTCAGCTATCACAAAGCTGAGCCGCGGCCTTTTTATCTCCACTGTGTTAGTATAGTATATTGTAATATTGTTTAGAATTAGATTTTTTATGTCATACTAATTGAAAATTTGTTTGCATTTGTATTATGGAGTAAATAAATGTAATTATTATTATTATATTAAAGCAAACAAAAAGAGTTACGCTTAAAAAGTCAAGGTTGCTTGGTGGTATAGTCCCGGTATAATTAAATCACAGCTTCTTACCAAATGGCAGCAACGTTACTGCGGACTTGTGCTGTAAAGAACTGGACATAATGATGGCGAAGCGAATCTTCGGACAGTCGTGGTTAATCTCTTGTCCATGCTGCTCCTACACGATAACGCTTGACCTCATACCGCACAACAGACTGTCTTTAAGCCACAAGTGATAAGGTTGGGAGTTTTACATCATCCGACAGACCTAACACCGACAAATACCTATCTACTTTTGTGTATGTTTTGTGTTGATATGTGAGAGAACGATGTGAGTGCAGAGGTGACGAGGTTTGAATGGAAAAAGAATAGATGCTGCTCTGACCCCAAATAGTGGGATAAGGTGAAAAAGAAAATACGTTTTCTGTTTTATTTTAAAACTAGCTTTTGCCCGCGACTTCGTCCGCAAATAATGCTTTATTTTAGAACAAATTTGGTGAGCATAAAAAACGTTATAATGAGCCAACCTTAACATATAGACATATGCTGTCGCGGACTTTTTTTTAGATATTTTAAAAGAGAATAATTCTGTCATACATTATTTTAGCGAAACTTTAACCGTTTCTGCAGTGCACGCAGCGGAAGCTCTCAAAAGGGAAAAACCCGATTTTGAAACATTCTTTATTGGTGCTACGCTTGTATTGGTCTTAGCTTGATGTTATATAGCCTTCCTCGATAAATGAGCTATCTAACACTGAAAGAATTTTTCAAATCGGACCAGTAGTTCCTGAGATTAGCGCGTTCAAACAAACAAACTCTTCAGCTTTATAATATTAGTATAGATATATTATGATGACTACGAGTATGTACAAGTATTTTCTTCAGTTCTCCCAAGTCATAGATAGAATTAAAAATAATGTTACGGTTTAATCTGACGTATTTCATTGACGATGTTTCAAATAATTTATAGTATTCATGGTCACTGACGAGTGATTGTATGAGAACTTACAATATATTGTACGAATTATATGATGACTCATAAAACTACTATCAATTTGTTTTATGTAACACATTTTGCAAACGACAGACCAAAAAACCAGTTCACGTATCAACTCTAGCCAATTTATAATGTCAAGGCGGTATAGAAATCTTTACACATTTACACAATATTCGATATAAATGGATTTCAATGGAACGTACTTTCAAATATCTGGATCGCATTTATTGAGTCTTTACGACAAGTTTATGGTCCACATTTCACCCTGTCTTCTTGTGGTAGGAGAGTGGAATCCACCGATACATCTTCCCATCAGGAAACGTCGATCGCAGAACCACCATTGGCTCGACCTAGATCTGTCTCTGGTGTGGATAGTATGGTTCCTGAGTAAACACGAGATTTAATTGATACAACCAGAAAATACCCCGATGCTGCGGCCCGTTCTGTGGCCAAAGTATTTGTGTCATGAAGTTATGTGGTGATGTTATTATCTTATATATAGCATTTATTAAGCGAAATACCTTATAGCCTTGCGACCGAAGTATGTAGAAACACTGCAGAATTGTAGTAGCTTTTCTTTTCATTGATACAAAATAAAATAAAAAAAGCATCTATACTAATATTATAAAGCTGAAGAGTTTGTTTGTTTGAACGCGCTAATCTCAGAAACTACTGGTTCGAATAATTATCTCAGTGTTAAAGAGCCCATTTATTGAGGAAAGCTATATAACATCACGGTAAGACCAATACAAGTGGAGAACCAATAAAGAATGTTTCAAAATAAGGGCTTAAATAGCTCCTTAACATTCTACAATTAAAAAATATTTTCGTAGCTATTCCACGCGGACGGAGTCGTGGGAAAAAGCTAGTCCGTCATATTTTTAATGAACGATTCTTCTTCTTATTTCCTTTAATTCTATTGTTTCAGATACACAATGCTCAAATGGACAGTATACGGTAAGAAAAACCAAGAGAGCCGTGGCAGCAGTGAATCTGAAAATGAACCGTCCGGTAACTGCAACAATGAATTTACCAATCACAATAGAAAATCCTTTGACGGCCAAGCCTATAAGAAAAGTAAAAAACCTAGCCGATATCAAAGAAGGTCTTTAAATTCCAATACAACCAGAAAAACCTTTAAAACAATCGACAAAGAGAACGTGAACTACATCGGTAGCACTCCTAACTTTTACAAAGAAGGTTTCATCCAAAAATCTGAAGGATTGGCTCTGAAAGATGTTAGTAACATCACTCCTACATCTGGAACTCCGGTAAAGAGCTTCGACAGAAGAAAACCGTTTCTCGGTAGTTCAAAGGATGATATTTCTGTTACACCTTCAACTTATAGTAGACGAGTGAGAGAAGCTAAGAAAAGGAAACTAGAAATGGGCAGTACTAATGACTCTTTCAAAAGAGACAGCATAACTTACAAATCCGAAAGAAGTATCAACCCATTTGAGAGAAATTCGAGAGATTTCTCGAAATTAACGCACAGTTCTTCTGAGCCTTCATTGCATGAACTGAGTTATAGAGTTAACGCTCTGACAAATGACTCAAATAACTCCATACATAAAAAGCAGCTAATTAATAATAATATTAATAACAATAATGTATGCACAACCAAACCTATTAACGAAGGTATAGTCGAAATAGAATATGATAAAGATTTCATTCTCAACTGTGTAGAAAAACCAATAACCATAAAAAAATCGCAAATAGAAAGAACCACGTTACCGATATTTGGTCATCACATTTTCATGAATAATCCGCTATATTTTAACAAAAACGACGGAATCGCAAGTATTAGACCCCTGAAAAGAACGAGGAAGAAATCAAACGATTTTGAAAGTTCGTTCAAGTCGCCCTCCGTTGATAAAAAAGATGTCCATACGCTAGTCAGAGATGCGTGTTCACCTGTATCTATCACACCACTAGCTACAAAATTAGCAGCTCTGAGATTCAGCACTATAAGCACTCGCAGCATATCACAGAGACTTCCATATAACGATGACGTCACAGAATATTTCCCTAAAGTAGAAAATCCATTCACCATTCCTTTGAGAGACGAGGAATCGTCGACCGAAATGGAAAATAAATTTATTTTTAGCAAAGACTTGGCTACCAGCCGGACTGAATCAACTGTAAATGGAACTCAATCTACTGTGTCTACAACTCAAATGGGCGACGTTACGCTTGACAAAATGATAGAGGATATTATTAAAAGCACAAAGATTGTTAAATCAAAACGTAAAATTCTCAAAACCTCTCCATCGGACTGTCAAATGATAAAAGAGGAAATTCCTCAGATCGAGCTCGTCAAAGTTTTATTCGTTAACCCTCAAGCAGAGAATAAAGCTAATTTGATCAAAGAAGCCAAATATGTGAATCTATCAAGAGAAAATTCAATATCACCTAAAGCCACTCCGGCAAAGAAAAAGAAACCGGTGCAAGTAGTCAATGAAAAATTGCTAAAAAATTTACCCGTTGGATGTTTTATATTAGACGATGGTGAAGGTTATCATGAAAGGGAGGTAAAAACTCCTGAAAATATAATTCGGAGAAGATCTTTGAATATAACGGCCGATGAAAATAGATCACTGACCAGAACACAGTCAATGCACATGTCAGTGTGTAGACAAAACTTAAAAACAACGTTATCTGAATCAACTCCAGATTTGTATTCAACGTCCGAAAATAAAACTCTAAAATTAAAGCGACAAAAATGCATTCGCCGCAAAAAATCTACCGTCAGCAACGAAAGCCTTTTGAAGCCACAACTTCCGGAACAGAAGCAAACCATACTTACATTAGAGATTGGAATACCCAGTCCAGCAACAGTACTCCCAGATATATCTATGTGTGAGCCCTTAACCTCTCCTTTAGCCGTCCCGCTAGGAATCGTTCATGAAAGTCACTCTCTTAGATCCAACGTATCACACAGTAGCCTTATGATGCACCAACAAAATCTAAATAGACATTCACAGGAACTGTTCGGTTTGACCCTTGAGAGTGGTATCCCAAGTCCCATCACTCCAGTTCCGAACCTAAAGCGACCCAGTAAAGTACTAAGCGAGGAGAGAGCGCACAAAACATGTAAAGTGGACGAAGAACTGATTTCGACAAATGCTAATACACCTATCATTGAGCATAAGTCTATAAGACGCTGTCTGACCTTTTCCCCAGAAGAGTACAGTATTAGCAGTAGTGATGAAAAGAGAAGAAGCGTGGCTAGCAACCGCTTAGAGCGAAGCAGCGACCGCTTCCAAGCTCCCAAAGGAACTATAGATTTAGAGATCGTCACGAGAAATGACGTTATCGATGTGCACGGTGAGTGGTGACTATCAATTTTGTTATAGCTCATCTTATTCAATGTTACATTCGAACCGAATAGATTTTTATTAAGTTATTATTATTTCAGTAATAAGATGCAGGGATCTGCAGAGGCCTGCTGGAAAGACAGATGAGATCAACGCGTATGCGAAGGTAAGATGTCCAATACCCCACATACGGTATGATTGCTCAACAAATATACATAAAATAAGCAAATTGTAATCGGGCTGCAATATATTTTATTATTGTATGTATTTATTACTACTTATTATTTAACCTTACAATTGAAAAATCCGCTCTAAAGATGTAAGCAACCCTTGTATTGGAACAATTAGATATGAAACAGAATTTGTAAATGTGTAGATAGCGAAAGATAAAACAGTCAAGTTCCATTATCTCCTATGTTTCTATGATCAATTAATAAAAATACTACTTGAACTGGACTATAGTTGACTATACTATAATTAATACAACAAATCTATTGAGATAAAACGTGATACAATGAATTTAAGTCTTTAGGTATCAATGTTTATAGTCCAATTTCGATCGTTAGACGAATGCTAGCTCATACAAATATTCTCATCTTAAATTCAGGTGGTTATCAGTGGCGTACCGGAGAACCAGAGCCTGCCTTCACAAAGGTCGATCTTCCAAAGAACGTCAGTTCTTTACGGGAAGCGAGAGCCCGAATTCCAAAGGCACCTGAGGCTGCCGCTGCCCACCGCAGTATACGAGCACCAGCTGCTTCACATCTCAGTTTGGCACAGAGACAAGAAATACCGGTAAGTGATAAATATAAAGAGATTTATTTGTATATTTATTCTTACATTCAAGCAGGCACGAGAAAATAATCATTAAGATATATTATAAGACCAAACCTTAGGTACCCAATATTAGCATCGCAAAAATGACTTTGTTTGTTGGATTTTCACTTAGCTAATCATCATGAAATTTTGCGGAAATATTGTTTGGGAAATTGAAAAGGACACGTGTTTCCTTTTATCCATAAAAAATAATGTTCCCTGGGATTTTTTTTCCTCTACTTTGACCTGAATAAAGCCGCGTGTAAAAGCTAATAAATTAAATAAAACAAGATTACAATCCAGAATGTAAAGGCCAATGTTAAAATCTATCTACCAAAGTACTTTAAAAGCAATAGAAAAATCTAAAAGAACTGAACTTCAGAAATAACTTCGTTAAATAAACTTGGTTCGAAAAGATATATCACGTTGAAGTGTTAATATATCTTCATTATTCGCGCTTCACGCTCCAAGAGAATGTCGCAGCATGACAATAATCTTATAGGCTTTCGTTTCTCCGAGATATGCGTTAAATTCCGATGCCGTCAAAATGACACCCACTGAAGAATCTCGCTGGTAATCGCAAGAAACGTGATGGAAAATGAGACATTTCTTTTTTTAACGACAAAAATGAAATCTAACTTACTAAGTAGCTCTGAAGATTTGTTGTAGAGAAGACAAAAAGCCTCAGAATACAAGATTTTAACCAAAGACCAAACTGCAATCCAATCAGCTATAGACCCCCAACTCGACGAGATGAAATTTTCAAAATTCATAGCCTGCGAACATCGCGGGATTCGTCTTTGGCTTTCCCGTCGTCTCATACATAAGATATAGCTGTGGCGTCACGGAGTGTCCATCGCGCATGCGCACGCCTATCGATTCTGGGCTCGGACTTCACCCAGCCAGTTGCGTTGCTAGCCCGCACCAGGCCTGGTGTGGACCGCAGTCACAACCTGTCGATACGCATTGAATATATAAGTGGCGTGAGATCGCTGTGCCGTTGTGATTCTTGTGATCCTCATCTGTATATGGATATTCATCTTTCCTGTGTAATTTTGGTAAGACATAGCTTTTTCGGGTTTATTTGTTGTTATGTTGTCAATTTGCTTTAATTTAAAGGACAAATTTTATTTTGATCACCGGGAAATCAATAACTATTCTAAACTACACCTTGATTATGGATCATCAACTTTATTTATGACGCTTGTTTGCAATGATCAGTTTCAAAGTTGAATGACATAAAAGATCCACTATTAATAAGGTATTAGCATCTCGGCTAAGTCTTGAAATAGCTTTTGAACTTAAATGTTCAAGCTACGCAGACAAATACGTACTCGGGAGGTAACACGCACCCTTTTATCAATCTTTGTAATTAGTAATCATTCTCAATTCACTCCACAATCCATTAGGCATCAGGCGTTATTAATTCATTCCTACTTAGAAAAAACTTCCAAGAATAAAATTTAAAAATATTTACTAATTCCTGTAATTAAAACTGTTAAGATCAAACAAAATCAAGAGCATCGTCTAATTGAAAGGGGAAAATAAAAATATTCAATTTGTCGGTTAGATCGTTTTGTACTCAGTTACATTTTCGGGTATATAGTTTTTGTAGTTTGATCATAAATATTTCGTATATTAACTTAATTTTAATGAAAACGGCACGTATGAAGAACTCGTTCAACTAAAATATCACTACATAGTTTATACTATAAAGTCGCTTTCTCTGTCCCTATATCTGTATGTCCCTATATATGCTTAAATCTTTAAAACTACGCAACGGATTTTGATGCGGTTTTTTTTTAATAGTAAGAGTGATTGAAGAGGAAGGTTTATATGTATAATAACATCCATTAAATAGTGGAGAAATCAATAATAAATTACAGTTTCCGAAGCGAAGCGAGGGCGGGTCGCTGGTTATGTATATAATGGAAATGGACCAGCTCTGCCCGCACCTCACGTTCGTAAAACACACCTCTAGGGCGCTCGAAATGTTATGCAATGAAAACTCATAGCAGTTCAGCTCATTTGTAGTCGACTCGACACCGAGGAACTTTATTCCGTTAATAATTAATTTAGGTCAAGAGTACAAACGTGTCGTGTACCAAATACGTTTCCCATACAAATAACATGTTTCTTTGTTATTACCTAAAATTACGTTTCGGTTTGGAGCAACCAATTTCGATCGTTCTAGTAGATGTACGAGGACTGAATAATTCGTAGAACATTATTTTTAACGCGAAATACCTAGTAATATCTAATTAATTCTTATTTATACTGGATTCAGATAAATTCATACACAAAAAAATCGCTGCCTCCCATCCACATTGCCATTTACATTCAATAAAAATATGTTTTTATAAAAATTAGTTAGTATTATAGTACCATTTCGCTGGATAAATCGCTCATCCGTGACGACGTCAATCTAATGCCTCATTTAGATTATCGGCGAACGATTCGCTGAATAATCGCACGGATACGACCACGTATAGATTCGTTTATACATTCAATGTTGTAATCTATCTATACATATAAATAAAATTGGAGTGTCGGTTTGTAATATTGAAATAACCGCTTTTTACTACATGCATATGAATATATATACGGTATATACACCAAAATAACATTTTTTACAATTTTTGTTTGTTCTGGCTAATCTCTGGAATGTCTGGACCGATTTTGACGAGACTTTCACTGATAGGTAGTTCATGATATAAGGAGTAGCTTAGGCTAGTTTTTTCGACTAGCTTCACCCCGCGGCGTCACCCGCGGTACGACAATAGCCGCGGGTAACATCGCGGAACTCAGCTATCTGTACTATAATATTATAAAGAGGAAAGATTTGTTTGTTTGTTTGTTTCGAATAGGCTCCGAAACTACTGGACCGATTTGAAAAATTCTTTTTCCATTAGAAGCCGACATTGTCCCTGATGAACATAGGCTACTTTTTTTATTTTTTTTTTATTTTTTTTTTTTGGTTTCATGTATGTTTTAATGTTTCCGAAGCGAAGCGAGGGCGGGTCGCTAGTCAATAATAAAATTTAATGTTTCCGAAGCGAAGCGAGGGCGGGTCGCTAGTTTTAAATACGGAGCACGCACCACTCGCTGCTTCGAATTTATTTCGTTTTAATGTGTATCAACTTATAAATATAAAAGCAAGACAAGATGACGTGTTTCTCTTTTTATGGCGCAAGCTAGCTTTTTCGAAGCTGCTTGAAAAATTCGTGCAACCACCGCGGATAATAAAACGCTTATGACCATATCCACGAGCCACACGAATTCGAATATGTAAACACGTCGCACGAATACAGACCAATAACCCTTTGAGTCGTGCCAAAAGAACGACTCAGCGCAGAGAGTGACGAGTATTCGTTGTATAGCCGATTACACCCGAATAAGTCATTTAGATGCTCGTTCGTATTCGAGCCTATTCGCCTGTACTCGGCGAGTATATATACGAGGCATTACGCATTGGACACGTAACGGAAATAGGAAAATTAAAACTAAATGAGGCCGTCAGCGTAAAAGTGACCTAATTTTTTTTCCTACCTGATAGCCTTGAGAGGCTATTTCAGCTTCACCCTAATGTGTAGGTGAGCTTACGGGGCTCAAGCCGGAGTGTTGCTAACACTGCAAGAGCAGTGCTTCGCAGAATCTACCACCGGATCGGAAACGCGACCCACTGAGAACATCCGGCGAGAAACTCAGTGGGTCAGTGGTGAGAACTGTGTCTGTGGGTTAGTTCGCTCGTCGAGCCCTTCGTCGCAGGCGACGGGTTCGACGAGGACGGTGACCGGATGACCTAAGTTTACCATAGTTAGTATCGCGATAATGAGGTATGAATTTACTTTTACATGGCTTCCTAGCCAAAAACAATTCGCGCAAAAATAATATTTACAATCTGTTATTTATGTGTGAAACTAGGGATAAACCGGTTTTGCATCAAAATTTATTATGTTTTAAATAAATTGCAATATATAAGCACGAATATAAAAACATGTGGGTTATACCACTTTTATGCTGACGACCCCAAAAGTAATTTCTATTATACAGACCTCATGATAAGATCATCTAGGATTACACCTCACGGATGTTACAGTATCTAGCCCCTAATAGGGCTAATAGGGTGCCCTTAAAAACCCAAACCAGACGCACGTAAATCCAACCACCAATTCGATCCCAAGTATGTTTCTATCGGTGTAGATGAGCAGATAAGCTATCAAGAGTTTGCCGGAACCCATAAGCAACACCATGCACATTGAGATATAACGTCGAAGCCTAAATTGTATGATGCTTGTAATCAAACTTCAAACAGAAACTCACGTCTCTTTTGCGAAACAAATAGGGTGATGGTACCTATTCCACTGTTCAATATGAACAGACAGCATCGGCGTATTTCAAGAGAAAATTTTTAGAATGTCCATCCTGCTTCTATGACGTGGTGTTGTCAGAAGGTGACTTTTAGAAAGGACTAAGCAATAGATAGCTTCAGCCTTGTTCGGACTAAGCGAGTATTTTAGTCGAGTACCGAGTAATTTAGTAGCTAAATGTGTTTGAGCACCAAAAATTTAGTCGACTAGGTTAGTAAATACGTTAGTCAAGTCAATCCATTTTGTTATATTTTTTCGGGCGAGTAGCGAGTAGTTTAGCCACTAAATTACTCGGTACTCGGCTAAAATACTCGCCTAGTCCGAACAAGGCTTTAGTGCTTAGTTTTTAATAAAGCAGCTATGAGAATCACGCGGTAACTTATAAATCTTTCACAAGAATTCAACTAAACTCGTTACGTAAATGCGTAAATGAGACGCGGAGAGCTATTTTAAAGGTGCCTTTAAAACTCCGCCTCTAGGTTTTTACGTAATTATTTTCAATTGGCATCCCTTCGCGATAGGGTTGCTCACTTTCAACATTTCTTATTATTTTATTGTACCCTTAATTTTTTTAACGGCTACTATAACGAGTGAAATGAACAAACTAAA